CCGACTACATATGATGCATTGCTAGAAATGATGAGGCGAGAGATTATCAACGAAGAATTGATTGACCACGGAAATAGGGCTAATCAGGACCTCCAACCACAACAGAGGCATCGTGGGAGAGGTCCCACCTCCCACCTGATGGATCATCAAAGGAATCAGATTGGCAACGAATCGACCCCAACTCGGGATAGGCACTTGCAACGACCACCTTAAACGCGGTGCTCACTTTGGCCTACGAGGACGTCGCACCCACAACCAATGTTCAACAAACTGAACCGTTACAATAGGCCCCCCGAAAGGGACGAGGCCGAGAGGTTCGGGACCTAGAGATAGGCCGAACCTCCCAGAATACTTCACTTATCACCATTCTTACAACCATGACGCAGTAAATTGTAGAGACATTTCTTACCATCCCAGGCGAACAAGTCCTCGAAATGATCAACGAAATGACTCACGGCAGAAAAATAGGCTCCTTCCCACTCTCCACCATTAGGATGTTTTTCCCCGATGGAGGAAGGAACACGCAAAGGAAAGATCGAAGGACGAGCAACAAAGAGACCGTCAAAACTGAGTACAGAACGCCCTCATCCACGAGATTGATACAATCTTTAGAGGCCCTTATGTTGGGGGAGAGACAAGAAACTCCCAAAGAAATTATGCCAGAGAAGCTAAGGGCCCCCCGTTGACCAATTATATAGTGAACAACACTTATCGGAGGAATCAGGCACCTTCTATTGTGTTCACTCAACAAGATGCAGAAGGAGTTCACTTTCCCCATTGCGACGCTCTGGTGGTAAGGGCCGTGGTGGCCCGAAATGAGCTAAAATGGATGTTGGTTGACAATGGGAGCTTTGTCAACATCCTTTTTGGAACTACTTTTAACAAGATGATTTTTGATCACGAGTTAACCCCCATCGCCACCCCTGATATGGTTTCACAAGAGATAGCATAATTTCGAGGGGTAAAATCACGCTTGCAGTAAATAGGGAAGCCACCCCTATCGACTCTAAACTTCATGAAATTTTTTATAGTTGATAGCAGGTCGGCCTACCTTGGGGTATTGGGAAGGCCTGCATTGAAAGACTTGGGAACCGTCACATCCATCCACCACTTGTGCATGAAGTTATCTACCGATCATAGAATGGCAACGGTAAAGGATGACCAAAGAAGAGCAAGGGAATGCTACTTGAACTCTGTCAGAAAAGCTGAACCCATGGACGTTAACATGCTAATAGCCGACGTGGACATGGTAAACGCTCTTGAGGAAATGCATGCGCTCGATGAGATTGACCCTCGCATAATTGAAATCGAGTCCCGAATTGCTCCAGTGAAGGAGCTGGAGAGCTTCCTAGTAGACCACCTGGATCCGCTAAATTGTTACATGTGGGAAGGGGCCTAATGCTGAAAACTAAGGAGATGTTCAAGAACTTCCTAAGTGAAAATCAGGATGTCTTTGCTTGGAGGCATAAGGATATGGTAAGCATTGACCTCAAAGTCAGCTGCCACCACTTGAAAATTGATCATAAAGTTGCCCCGCATAGATAAAAGAGGAGAGCCCTCAACCCAGAACGATACGAGGCCCTAAAGGAAGAGGTACGTAGGTTAATTAAGAATGGCTTCATCCAGGAGGTCCAATATTATAAAATAGATCTCCAATCCAGTTCTAGTAAAGAAGTACAGTGAAAAGTGGAGGGTGTGCATAGACTTTTTCGGGCTCGACAAGGTATGCCGCAAGGATAGTTTTCCCCTTCCTAGAATAGATCAACTTGT